TCAAAAAACCCCCCCCCCCCCCCCCCCCCCAGGGGGCTTATATTTGGAGAGGCGATGTTACGGAGGGTTTTTTGCGTTACGAGTTTGGGGGGCTTACATTTGGAGGGGCCTATACAAGGAGGGGCTTATTTTCGGAATTTTACGGTATGATCAGAGAATGCCTTTAAATGCTTTTATGGACTTGATGACCTAAAAAGCTCGAAAGATGAAGTAATGCCATTAAATACATACAAACTGCACCAACCCATTCTGCCTAATAACAAGCTATTAAGAGCGGGGATCCTTAAAATAAAGACTACATTTGAGGGTGAACTGCAGTCAGGCGATGCACAGACAAAGGAAAGAATTTTGGATGCCCCCTGTGGCGGAAAATTTCTTTATTAGGAAGACGCTCAACTAGAGCGAATAAAGATCTAAATGAAACATTCCTTCACCCCTCAGCATGTTTAAGCGCATGCTATATGTAAGGGAACATGGTTGCATAGGACACACTTTGAGTGGAAAGAATGCCGACTGAATATTTCTTCTACTGATCGAGGCAATTTTAAGTCTTGTCGCGAATAATTCTATCATTTTTGGAGATAAAAGTTAACCTTAATTTGCTTGAAATATCTGAGGTGTTTGTCTTGTAAAGGTTGAGTAAACATTGATCACATCGATCGCCTAAACTTCAACCATCTTGCCCCTTTAAAAGCAACACTGTAACCCTACGATTTTTTGAGCACTCATCTGTTACTCACTGAAACGGTTGCTTAAGATGAAACGAAATCTTTCTATAAAGGAATCACATTTACTCATTCAAAAGCCGTGCTCATGACCGAAAACGATATGAATACGGTATAAATTATAAGTCAATGTCAGTGATTTAGGTCAATGCTTTCCTGCAGTCTTTTTTACATATTGTAAGAAAATAGCGCTGTTAGGTTAATCATGTCGAGTCTGCATCCTGTCTCATGTGACTTTAAACGAAAGATGAAAACCTATAATAAACTAAGGATAAACACATCTGCTTCAAAATGATTTAAAAGCTATTGTTGACTGAGAAGGTGGTCTGCATGTATATTTGGGGCTGCTTGAATATTAGTTCTTTAATTATCAGTATAGAGCTCGGAGATTCGGCCCGGCCTTGATCTGTATAATCTTCAGACCATCACCGAGCTACCTGTTAATTTTTTGGATCTCAGCTCAGTATAAAAACCCTTGACAGCTCCCCAATGACTGTACAAACAGTGGAATTAAATTCCTAAACAACGGCATAAAACATCAGCGAGAAACTTGCATAAGAAACCATCCTTTAAACAGACTACAGGGGCTCCAGTTTCTAATGATCCAGCGTTACAACTTTTAAAACAAACAAGTTTTGGCAATTGTGCTCTTACCTTATCTTGCAACAGTCGTAGCTGAGAGCTCACAAGGGCTCATACGATGAAAGACGGAAGCGAAAATGCAAATTAGCTACCGTAAAATTCCGAAAGTAAGCCCCTCGATGTATAAACCCCTCCAAATATAAGCCCCCAAACCGGTGACGCAAAAAATCCTCTGTTAAATCGCCCCTCCAAATATAAGCCCCCCGGGGGCTTGTAGTTGGAAAATGGCCCTCAAATACAAAGTAAAACAAATCAAAAACGGTAAATTTACTTCGAACTATAAGGCTAGCCCACTCGATTTGTAGACGCAACTTTCCTTCCGTAGATAAGCCCCTCCGAATATAAGTCTCTCCAAAAATAAGCCCGTCAAAAAGGGCCTTTGAAAAATATAAGCCGCGGGGCTTATTTTCGGAATTTTACGGTATTCACTAAGCACCAGTCCTTCGAGTTACGGCAGTTAACTCAAGCGTAATTTGAAAGTTTTTATGGGAAATAAAAGGGTCACGTAGCAGCTGAAGAGAAGTGACCAATGGTGCGTTTACCATACTAAATCAATTGGAAGAATGACATGTCATTGTTTCTTGCGACCAATTAGGAGAGACCGCAAGAGCAGCTCCCACACAAATAAAACTACAGTCGACTCCGGTAACTCGAACCCTCTATAACTCGAAGCAGTTTTCATTTCCCATCAGATAGTTTTCTATAATATATAGATTTAGCCAGGGCTAAAAGCGAGAGCCCCCACGGTCGTTACAAATTAAGCCGAGTGGCTCTGGGGACGAAAATGTAAGAACCCTCACTTTGCAATGCGTCCACTTGGCGTATCGTGTTGAGGTGATAGGTACGCGGTACGTAGCCCCGGATTTTGTTTGATGGTATAATCGCGTTACAACCATGGAGGCCGACGGTGAAAAGCCAAAAGTAGTTGGGTGTCCATCGGAAACGGTAAGTTTGGTATGAATTCCGGTGAAGTGTAAAAACGTGTGAATGCAACTTCGGTCATCGACATCGATCATTGCATAATTTGGGACGTTCAATTTTTATTCCGATTTCCCCTATGGATTGGTGGCCTTGTAGCCATTTTTAAAGGTTCCCCCAAAAAAGAGGGGGGCTGGAAAGTTTTTTTTTTTAAAGCGTTCTGGTAAGTTGGTAGGTTCTGCTCATCCGGAAGACTGCAGGGTGTTGGGTGGGGGATGGGGGGTGTCGGATATAGAACGTCCCATTGTTTGCAAGCCCTCGGCTCTTTTTTAGCTGCCAGTTTTTCTGTCGGCTGAACAGTCGCAATGTGCAATATTCCCTTGGATTTGGGTTGTCACGGGAACTATGTGGCCTCCTGGTAGCAGACAAAAAGGGAGACAGAACTTCTTTTTACAGTTCAAACAGAGGTCTGGAGGGGTATTTTCGGGATCCTGGATTTGACCAAAATACATGTAGGTTGCGTAATTTGGAGAAACGCAACATATCTTAATGGCAAACGGGATTTTACAGCAACTTGGGAAGCGGGATTCGTCCAAATTTAGGGACGGACCATTAGAAAAGTGATGATGCAAAATCTTTTCGAAAATGTACACACAGTGAGAGAGGCGGAAGCCACTTGGCGTGGATGGCTCTCCTGTGCATTTTTTCAGTCCCTGCCCTCTGGAATTCCTCTCCCACAGCCCATCATAATGATGCTATATTCCATTCACCAATGAAAACCATACTTTGCGGTTCTTAATTTTTGTTAAAAGTACCGGTGGCAGTGTTGCTGTTTATGTCGCTGACAGTTAAAGTTTTAACAATTACTACTACGTGTGACTGCACTTTTTCATTGTATTATAGAATTCTTATTCAAGGCGGTAAGACCCATCCTCTAATTTTTATTGTGGGCACAAATAATTTTATAGAATATTTACAAAGCTACCAAATTCTAATATTTATTTATTACAAATTTTATTTTATTATTTTTATTATAATACAGTATACAGTGTATGTTGTAGGTACACTAGCTGCAATTTAAAACAAAGACAAGGTTCTAATTGTCTCCTTTCAATAAGAAGAAAGTGATTTTTGTTTATTCATATTGTGCCTGGTAATATTGTTGATTTCTGAAACTCAGACTTTCTGAAAAANCCCCCCCCCCCCCCCCTCCCATCACTTTTCTAATGGTCCGTTCCTTAAGCACAGGATGTGCGATTTTTTGCCTGTATGTTGGGAATTCCGGAAATCATATATTTGAGCGGCAAATGGGAATGAACCAGGCGTGCGTTAAGTGTTGTCTCCTTACAAACCAAACTATGGAGTGCACCTTTTTAATTAATTTTTGTTTTATTTTTTTATTTTTTATTTTGGGAAAGCGATGAAAAAAAAAGTGGGATGCCGGATTTTTGTAAAAACAAAAAAGGGTGGGAATGCGGGATCAGCATCCCTCCTTTCAGATCCTATTCATATTCCCTCTAACAAACGATCAAAGGGAACATACAAACTCGATTTGTCCAGTACACCACTGTTGACTTTCTTTCTATGTACATCTTATACCTTTTTTGCCGTCCCTTGCAGGGAAAGCAAGCATTTGCCAAGGATGTCCAGGACAACATCTTTGCAGTCAGCAAGGTGAAAGTTAATTACGTTTACCCTGTAATTAATTGCTAACAATGACTACATGTACAGTGTATTTGATTACTCAAGGGTGACCTCATTTTAATGCATGCTGGATTTTTGTTTTAATTTGTTATTTTTATTTTATCTGAGAACTGCACTGCTAGATAATAATTAAGATGGTTGGCCCCTCTCCTCTATTTTTCTTGTTGATGCCAATAGGCCTCAAATTTTGCTTACAGCCGAGTGTGTTACCACACAAATGATTTAAGCAAACGATGAAGGCAGATATTTTATCAACCTGCTGCTGATGCTGGCCAGTATGGAATAACTTACCCGGCCCTTATTAATGTACACTTTATAATTCTCTGGTACTGTTTCCTTTTTTTGTTTGTCTGTTTGTTTGTTTGTTGTTGTTTTTTTTATGTTGTTCTATTTCATCTTAATTTATTTTTTATCACCTTTTTTTTCTCCTAATTAAATTTATGATATTTTTCCTCTCTTTCTTTCATGTGTTGCAACCCTATAAAATGTAATTAATAATTGTAACTACTCAGCTCGACTACATGTCCAGAAATCTCGCCCGTCAAATTTCGCGCGCCTTACATTCACACAGTTCCGCAATGGTTTTAACCGCTGATTTTTACCGTGATTCCCGTGCTCATAATGTTCGAAAAGTTGGAGTGGTCAAATACATAATGCGTAATCCTTGCATGATGTGAGAGAATTCAGGTAACAGATTCAAGAGAATAAATAGACGCTGGGATTTTCGAGGTTGAAAAACAACAAAACACACACACTTTGCCATATTTACTTGGTTTGTTATTGCTTGCTGTCTGGTTATTTTCCCGATCGGCTGCGATTGAAGCGATTTCTTTACCCCCGAGCTTAGGCTGCCCTTGATTGAAAAGTCAGTCACTCCATCGCTCATGCTCTAAACATTATTTATCGTGGACAGGTTTCAGACAATTAATACTCTGATTTATTCTGACTTATTTGATACATACACTTTAAAAATGATTGTGAACGATTTCAATACATAGCATTAAGCAATGCAAAACAAAAAGGTTCACCTGATATCTTCACTTTTGACTTTGAACCAAAAATATTTCATTGGTCACCAGCGTCGTGTTGCATTACATGCAGAATTCCGTTCCCCTATTTGACTCTCTTAGGGTCAAATACAAGTAATCAGAATCAGATATTCGAATCAAACTACGAATGATTGAAAATATATATAATGTCACTTAATTTTCTTCATAAGCTTTACTCGCAGTACTTCATTTCCCATCCATGCCAGTAACTTAAAAAGGAGGAAGGCTCCGTTCAGGTTCGGAGGATATGATCACTCCTTTCTGGGTTCTTTTGGGGGTGGGAAAAGTCAATCCTTAGCTTGGAAGTCGGAGTATTTCTTTCAGCTGATCTGACACGAAATCCGACATAAGTTGCGCTTTTTCCCACGCTTGCTTTATCTCTTTAGAAGGTTGTCCAACGTAAGTTCCCGGTTCTAATCCAACATTGAGTACTTTTAAGTATTCATACTGACGGTATAGCCCTAAGGAAAACTTAACAAGAAATTCAAATGACCATGATCTGTTAATGACACTGAATTGTTGAACAGTCCATCCCATCCGTTTTGTTATGAAGTCTGGATACTCATCACATAATGTAGTAAATTCAGCGTATTTATCGTTCGATAAATAGCTTGACAAATAAGCCCGAAACGCATTCTGTAGTGAAACACAAATTGTATTCAACATCCAAGTTGGAGTACTTTCTTCGTACTGGGTAATAAGTTTTTTCAGTCGATTGTTATGGAAGAGGAATCGTCGAAACCGGTTAACCACCATCTTAAGACAAGCGAAATGCTGAAATACTTCATGATGCCACATCCTCATCAAGTAGAAAAAATAGACTGACGTTCCCTCCAAGACCGTTTTGTATGTTGATGCAGAAATAACAGCCGAACGATGACGACCAGTGACCGTGGTGCTTAAATTCGCTAAAATTGACGCAGCAAATAGTCGGCGATTGACGGTCGACATTAATGAACTTAACTTCTTCGTATAGATTGCAGAACGGCCTATTTGCAACGTACACACTTTCAAGTCATCTAGAAACTCGTTCTCAAACACGGAATGTATTTGGCCCCATTGGTCTATTTGTCGAAATAACTCGTTCCAGATGGGTGTTAACGATAAAGGACTACCAATTTCCATTCTCTCTGCGTCTAAGCCGTCTAGTTTACAGTGAGATGTGTTATCTTGCCTATTTTGAATGTAGACACAAGGCCTAAAACAAAATCTCGGACATCCTCTCTTAGGTGAAGTTCCAGATCATTGGGAATCCAGCCAAATAACCTTGTGAAAATGATATTCATTTCAACATCTTTAGATGGCAACATCATTATACCTCCGTGGTCTTTTATTATTCTTGTGACCTCTTTCCATGGATTATAACTTCCAACTTTAACCGCTTCGAAGCCGAATACGTTCGCCAAGTAAAGTGGCGTGATCCCGTCTTTGTTTGGGCAATTCACATCTAACTTATGCTGTTCTTTTTCTTTAAATATCTCTTGGATAAATTTTACCAATCCGCGAGAAGCTGCCAAATGGTATAGAGTCAGTTCGGGTTTACTGGAGTCACATACAATCTGGAAACCACGAGTTTTCATAGCATGGCCAAGAAGCTCGAGAGCCACAACAGATGCGTTATCTTTTCTAGCTAGCAGTTCGTCTTTTCCAAAAAGATGGTTCGAGATGTCCCCTCCTGAGTGCAGTATCGCAAGGGTAATCGCGTCGTGTCCTTGTGGGGATAGTAAAGTCTGATTTGCACCGATTTTCATGAGGCTACGAACAGCTACTAAATTAGCTCCTTGCATGTGCCGCTCTATGAAGGGGCGTAAATCCTTCAGAGTCCAAGCAATTATCAACGACTCTGTGCTTTAATCTATGACGTTCAATTGTTCCTTGAAAAGGGGGCTTCCTGGAAACGCATGTTTGATTATCACATGTTACGAGTTGAAAGAAATTATTGTTTTCCAGCTTTGGAGGGAAATAACACAACAAATGAATGGTCGACAGTTGAAAAGGCTTCCCACACTCAATTTTGAAAGAAGCATTAAATGGGAAGTCTGCCCAGTCTCCACCATTTTGAATGAAAGTCATCAGTGGTGTTCTCCCTAGATGGTCTTTGCAGTTAGGGCGGGCTCCTTTCAATAACAAAAGTCGAGCGATGTAAGGTTTTCTTTTCCAAATGGCCTTGTGTAGCAAGCTTGTACCATTACGACTGCATTTACTGAACGATGCACCGGCCGATAAAAGAAGATAAACAACCATTTCGTGATCACGCAAGTGCTGCCGCAGATCGTGGAAGTGTTCTTCTGCATTGAAATGTGAAGTAGTCAAACTTGCTGTGCAGTTTTCTACTGCAACTTCCAACGGTGTTTTACCAAACTTATCACGTATTTCGAGCTTTGATTTTCTTTGTAACAGAACATTGACAGCATTGGCCAAACCATTTGCTGCTGCTATATGCAGCGGTGTTCGGCCGTCTAAGTCAACAGCATGTATATCAGAACCACGTAAGATCAAATTGATAAATGCATCTAACCATCGATACTGATCTGTGTTTCTAATAATATTGTTTTCTTTTTCATAAAACTCAGCAAGGTGGCCCCTACGGTCAATTGTCACGAGGTGAAGAGCCCCACCTAAATCTGTCCTATTTAAAATAAATTTACCATCCAGTTGGTCGGGATGTATGTGGAGAATTGCATAATGCAATGTTGAAAGACCATCCTTATCAACTGCGCTAAGATTTGCTCCAGAGTACAGTAGTAGGTCAATAATTTCAACGGCTCCACATGCTGCGGCGCTGTGAAGAGGTGTCGAACCATTAGCTGTCATGCTGTTAATGTTAGCACTGCTTTCTGAACGCATCAGCATATGTACAAATAAC